GAGTGGGAAAGACCTAAAACAATTTAGATAATTAGGTAAGCAGGAAAACGTGAAAACACCAGGTGCTAAATAAGTATAAGCTTAATATCATTATAAAGAGACTATTGTATTCACAAAATTATTCAAATAAAGTTTAATAAAAGTTTAAATATTAAATAATAGACTCTCATTGCGTTACTCGAGTGTCCAATATTGTGATTGTAACTTCGTTAGTGCAACTGATAGAGAAACTGAGTTTATTATTTCTAGCAAATAAATAGTGTGACGGGCTATTGGCATAATTCGTGCTACCGTCACTTTAGTTAACAGGTAAAACTCAAAAGAGGCGATTTGACTTGACCGAATTATCTATCTTTATTAGATACATTTCTATCCTTTTTATACATGTTTTAGACGTCTAGATGGAAGTCTTTAGAGAGTAAAAGAAAAAAATCAAAATCTATAGAACATTTAAGGCCTAAAGGTGAATGATTCATATTATGTTCCTATTGTTCGTCATCAATCAATCATTATTATTACAGGTTGATTTTTCGCGATACTCCGGTTAAAATCGATCACGTGACTACCATCGCGCAATAGGTATTTCTGGAGAACATTTGATAGAGAGAAATTAGCAAGTATCCAGACTAGCCAGGATCAAAATCGCCTTAAGAGTTAAAGCCCAATCACTATAAGAATTATAGTACCTCAATTATACATGACGCGAGAAATAACCTGGGATAACACAAACTCGTTGGTTACAAGTCAATTTCATACAACCCGCAATCCGATCCCGACCCGACTAAAACCTGAATTACTGTTCCATTCAAAAAACTAATTACTGCTGTATAAATCTGAACTCTCTTGATTTAATGACTGGCAAATAACTTGTATTTTTTTTTTTACTAGTTTGTTACAATTATGGTTCAGTTGGTTCAGTTTGTAGAGTTTTTTCTGAAACATCGGTTCTCAATTATTTAATTAATCTTTGTAGCATAGGAGTTACACAATAAAAAAGTGTCTCGGTTATTATTAACTAGAGCCGATGTCCTACCCAAAAACATTGTACATGCTTTGAGAAAAAAGATGCGTGTAAACGAACATCTGATATGTAAAACAGGTACTGTATTTGTAAAACGATCAACTAGAATTTTATAGTTCGATTAAAGGCAATCATATGAAGGTCTTTTTTTTTATAATAATAAAATAATATAATGTAAGATATTTCCGTTTAAAATTTCTGAAGTCTTGTTTTTGGTGGGATGTTTTATAGTACAATAAACGCTATAAATTTCTAGATAAAGTATTACGGTATAGAAATTCCAGGTGCGTCCTAAAATAGCAACTTAAATTCTATTCATGTATACAGTATATTCTTTTCGGAATAGAATTACGTATCGTTACACGGTACAGCGAAACCAGATTCACCAAAAATACACCCCTTAAATTTATTGCCAAATAATATTTAAATCGTAAAAAAGTCGGTTAACTTCTTTTTTTCTTTAATAAATTTTCTCAAAATAATACATGGATTCACAAAACTTTTTTAAAAAAGAAGGGGGCAGATGCCATGAGTGCAACAAAAGTAGTAACTGCGACTTGTGTACAGATTGTTTTTCTAACCTATTTCTTCCTGTTAATAGCGGAAATTTAAAAATTGACAATTTAATTAAAGAAACACATGGAAATAATATTCGATATAGATTAGAATGGATCCCATATAAGATTTTACGGTTGCTCGAAAAGTTGCAGAGGGTGGATTTAGCATTGTATACATCGCTAAATGGACAAAAGGAAGAATTACGAGTTACTCCAGAGGAAAGCTTAATCGGAAAGGTTCTATGGAGATTATATTAAAAGTCCTTAAAGATTCTCAAAATATAAACTCGGCATTTATAAAGGAGGTAAAGTAAAAGTTTTCGTTTACTTAATTCGTAACTGAAAGAATATTAAAGTAAGTTAAATCTTTCTTTAGTTACGTAATATTGCTAGAACACAACCAAACTCCTCTAAGCGTTATCTTGTTCATTGTTACGGAGTATCGCAAGATCCAATAACAAAAAATTATATATTTGTTATGGATTATATGAAAAATGGAAGTTTGCACGAATATTTACCCAATAATTTTGATGCTATCAAATGGATAGACTGGGGAGAAAATAAAAGTATTAAAATAAATTTCCTAAGAAGTCTTGTTACTGGAATTAAATGGATTCATCAAAATAAGATCATACATCGCGACATACACAGCGGAAATATATTAATACATGAAAATGATGATTCGTTAATTGCTGATTTGGGACTTAGTCAACCCGCTAATGAGAAACCAGGATCAAGTGTATACGGAATTATGCCTTATATTGCACCTGAGATATTTAATAAAAAAAAATTTTCATTTAGTTCTGACATCTACAGTTTAGGCATAATTATGTGGGAATTAACGACAGGATATCGCCCTTTTAATGTTCGAACGCATGATGCCAATCTTGCGTTAGATATATGTAGAGGACTACGTCCTAAAATTACAGAAGATACACCGGATTTGTGGGCTAGTTTAATGGAAAAATGTTGGCATCAAGATCCTTCACAGAGACCTTCAATTAATGAAATAGATCAGATAATAAGATCTTCAGAATGGGAATTTAGTGTGGCACTTTACGATGCAGAAAAAAAACGAAAAGAAATAAAATTCGAAAAATTTGTACAGGAACAAAGAAGTTTTAGTCAATTATTAGATCCTATCATAGAAACTACAAGTTATGCCTTAAATTTATTTAGGAGATCAGAGTCATTATTGGGTAATTGTTAATTTTCTTTTTTTATATAAATAAAGTTAACTAACATTAACTTACAAATAATTTTTAGTGTCTTCTTCTGCATGTTCTTTAGATATCATGAAGGATGCGTATGTAAACATTTTACATATAAAAAAAATTAATAATTAAAAGGGTAGAGTTTACTAATTCAATATTTTATCTAGTCCCAAACTTATAGAAAGCACCAATTGTTTGAACCATAGCAAAAATTTATCAACTTCATTGAAGCACACAACCGATTTTCTGCTAAATGGAAAAAATAGTAAGTTTAGATTTTGTTAAATAAATATTCGTTATTAAACTTATATATATATGATATTACATATAATAGTCCAAATAAAACGCCGAAAATTGGTTAATTATAATGAAACAATCACATATGATGGTAATGTATTTTACATTCAGATTATTTCGTTACCTAATTACAGTATTTATATAGTCTAATAAGATTTTCCTCTTATGAAAAAATATTAGAACCAAGTTTAGTTAAAATTGATGGTAAGTACGTTACATGCTTTTAAAATAAGTTTAAAAGGTAACTTCTTTTATATATTTACATTAGTAGATAAACCAGAATCATGTTTACCTAACCTTAGCGAAATTATGTCAAATGATGATGGACAAGCGTTGGCCGATTATTTATGCGGCGATGTTACAGTAACCGAGTTAACCATGAGTGGTGAAAATCTACGTTATAAAATAGTTAGAGGGTTGGTTATAGGTTTATGCAAGAATGCTCTCCTGACCAATTTAGTTGTAAAATACATTGAAATAGAAGGATCAGCGGGAATAGCACTGGCTGAAGCACTATGTAAGAATGCCACCCTGACACATTTGGATTTGCAGATTAACGGTTTGCAAAGATCGGTAATAAAAGAACTGACTGAGGCACTATCGAAGAATAACACTTTGATACATTTGAATTTTCTGGACACCGATTTAGGAGAATCGGCAGGGAATGCATTTGCCAAGGCACTATGCAATAATGCCACTTTGACACATTTGAGTTTTCGAAACACCAATTTGGGAGAATCTGCAGGAAATGCACTTGCCGAGGCACTCAGCAAAAACACCACTTTGACACATTTGAATTTGCGGGATAATAATTTGGGAGAATCGGCAGGAAAAGCACTTGCCGAGGCACTATATACGAATACCACCCTGATACATTTGAATTTGCGGGATAACAATTTAGGAGAATCGGCAGGAAATTCACTTGCCAATGCATTGTGCAAGAATACCACCCTGACAAATTTGAATTTACAGAATAATAATTTAGGACAATCAGCAGAAAAAATACTTTTCAATTCATTGTACGAAAATACTACCCTAAATAATTTAGGTATTAGTATTAATTGGATAGGTGAATCGACAGAAAAAGTATTGGTCGAGGTATTGTTTAAGAATACCACTCTGGCATATTTGAATTTGCGAGAATCAGTAGAAAAAGCACTAGCCGAAGCACTGTGCAAGAATATTAACCTAAAAAAATTGGATTTACAGATCAAAAGTTTACGAGAATTGGTAGAAAATACATTAGCCGAGGCATTATGCACCCTGACATATTTAAATTTGCAGGGTAAATATTTAGGAAAATCACTAACCAGGGTACTATGCAAGAATAACACCCTGACATATTTGAATTTGCGGGATACCGATTTAGGAGAATCGACAGGAAAAGCACTAGCCGGGGCACTATGTGAAAATATCACCCTGACATATTTGAATTTGCGGGGTACCAATTTAGGAGAATCGGCAGGAAAAGCACTGGCCGAGGCACTATGCAGGAATACCACCCTTATACATTTGAATTTGCGAGATAACAATTTAGGAGAATCGGCAGGAAATTCACTTGCCAATGCATTGTGCAAGAATACCACCCTGACAAATTTGAATTTACAGAATAATAATTTAGGACAATCAGCAGAAAAAATACTTTTCAATTCATTGTACGAAAATACTACCCTAAATAATTTAGGTATTAGTATTAATTGGATAGGTGAATCGACAGAAAAAGTATTGGTCGAGGTATTGTTTAAGAATACCACTCTGGCATATTTGAATTTGCGAGAATCAGTAGAAAAAGCACTAGCCGAAGCACTGTGCAAGAATATTAACCTAAAAAAATTGGATTTACAGATCAAAAGTTTACGAGAATTGGTAGAAAATACATTAGCCGAGGCATTATGCACCCTGACATATTTAAATTTGCAGGGTAAATATTTAGGAAAATACCTAACCAGGGTACTATGCAAGAATAACACCCTGACATTCTTGAATTTGGGGGATAATAATTTAGGAGAATTGACAGGAAATGAACTAGCCGGGGCACTATGTAAGAATACCACCCTGACATGTTTGAATTTGCGGGGTACCAATTTAGGAGAATCAGCAGGAAAAGCACTGGCCGAGGCACTATGCAGGAATACCACCCTTACTAATTTAGATATTAGTGGTAATTGGTTAGGAGAATCAACAGGAAAAATATTGGCCGAGGCACTATGTAAGAATACCACCTTGAAATATTTGAATTTGTGCAATACCAATTTAAGAGAATCGGCGGGAAAAGCACTGTCTGAGGCACTATGCAAGAATACCACCCTGACTAATTTAGATATAGGTAAAAATTGGATGGGAGAATCAGCAGGAAAAGCAGTGGCCGAAGCACTATGTAAGAATAACACCCTGACAAGTTTGAATTTGTGTTATAATGGACTGGAAGAATCGGCAGGAAAAATGCTAGCAGAGGCACTATGTAAGAATACCACCCTGATAAGTTTTGATTTGAGTTATAATAGACTAGAAGAATCGACAGGAAAAACACTTGCCGAGGCACTATGCAAGAATACCACCCTGGAATATTTGAATTTGCGGGGTACTAATTTAAGAGAATCAGCGAGAAAAGCACTGGCTGAGGCACTATGCATAAATACCACCCTGACTAATTTAGATATTGATGGAAATTGAATAGGATAATCGGTAGGAAAAGCACTGGCTGAGGCACTATGCAAAATAACACTGAATAATTCAGATATTGGTAGAATTTAATAGAATTGGCAGGAAAAGCACTGACCGAGGCACTATGCAAGAATAAATAATACAAAAAATCTACATAAAAAATTTGTAGTGAGTTTATTTTTAAATAAGACTTTGCAATCAAAATTTTTATTATATTATTCCATAATCTTTATATCTATTATGTATTAAAGCTGTAAGCTAGATAATGTAAATAATTTTTGTAACTATAAATTTAATTTAATCTATAGTTACAATTACAATAATTTTTGTGACTTTAGTATAAATTTAAATTGCAATTACAATTACAATAATAATATTATTTATTTATCACAATAACATTATTTATTAAATATTTATATTTATCAAATAAAAAATTGGGTTAAAATTTAATAAATTTAACTTTATAAAATAATGATAAAAAATCACATATTGTTTTATCATGTGGAACTTCTTACTTACAATAAATTATATAAATCTAGGGTGTTTTTTTCCATAAGGATAATATAGATATAGATAAATAAGTATACATATATGTGAACATATATACAAATGAATGGATAATATGGATTAAACAATCAATTCTTATCTGTATTTTGCCTTTCTCATATCCAATAAATTTCTAGCTGGTGAATAATTTCCCTGTGTACATAGAATCACAGATAAATAAGTATACATGCAAAAATATAGATAAACAAGTAATAATAATAAAACAATTAATTCTTACCTGTATTTCATATCTGATAATTTTCTAGCTAGTAATAATTCCTATGTATATGGAATCCCAAATATATATAGATTGGTAAGTACATATGTGAATATATAAACAAATACAAGAAACAATTAATTCTTACTAATATTTTTTCAAATTTCTAGCTAATAATAATTCCTTATATATATAAAATCATAGATAGATATATGTAGATAAGTCCATATGCAGAAATATAAATAAATAGATTGGTCATGTAATTATATACTTAATAATGTTAATATATGACATTTATATTTTGCATAACAAACCAAAAA